CTCTTTGGAAACTCATTGTACATGACAAATACTATACGAGAACTGTTTTAGAAAAAACAGAACTCTCGAAAATCGACTGGCGTCTCACCTTTAATGTCGAAAATAGGCGTTTTTCGGGTAAAATAATTAATTAAAATAATTTGTAAGAGTTTTAATTATCAGAACTCTTTGGAAACTCATTGTACATGTCTAATACTATACGAGAACTGTTTTAGAAAAAACAGAACTCTCGAAAATCGACTGGCGTCTCACCTTTAGTGTCGAAAATAGGCGTTTTTCGGGTAAAATAATTAATTAAAATAATTTGTAAGAGTTTCAATTATCAGAACTCTTTGGAAACTCATTGTACATGACAAATACTATACGAGAACTACTTTATAATAATCAGAACTGTCGAAAATCAACTGGCGTCTCACCTTTACAGTCGAAATTAGACGTTTTTCGGGTAAAATAATTAATTAAAATAATTTGTAAGTTTTTAATTATCAGAACTCTTTGGAAACTCAATATACATGTCTAATACTATACGAGAACTGTTTTAGAAAAAACAGAACTCTCGAAAATCGACTGGCGTCTCACCTTTAGAGTGAAAAATAGGCGTTTTTCGGGTAAAATAATTAATTAAAATAATTTGTAAGAGTTTTAATTATCAGAACTCTTTGGAAACTCATTGTACATGACAAATACTATACGAGAACTGTTTTAGAAAAAACAGAACTCTCGAAAATCGACTGGCGTCTCACCTTTAGAGTGGAAAATAGGCGTTTTTCGGGTAAAATAATTAATTAAAATAATTTGTAAGAGTTTTAATTATCAGAACTCTTTGGAAACTCATTGTACATGTCTAATACTATACGAGAACTGTTTTAGAAAAAACAGAACTCTCGAAAATCGACTGGCGTCTCACCTTTAGAGTGAAAATAGGCGTTTTTCGGGTAAAATAATTAATTAAAATAATTTGTAAGAGTTTTAATTATCAGAACTCTTTGGAAACTCATTGTACATGACAAATACTATACGAGAACTACTTTATAATAATCAGAACTGTCGAAAATCAACTGGCGTCTCACCTTTATAGTCGAAATTAGACGTTTTTCGGGTAAAATAATTAATTAAAATAATTTGTAAGTGTTTTAATTATCAGAACTCTTTGGAAACTCAATATACATGTCTAATACTATACGAAAACTGTTTTAGAAAAAACAGAACTCTCGAAAATCGACTGGCGTCTCACCTTTAGTGTCGAAAATAGACGTTTTTCGGGTGAAATAATTAATTAAAATAATTTGTAAGAGTTTTAATTATCAGAACTCTTTGGAAATTCATCGTACATACCCAGAACTATACGAGAACTACTTTATAATAAGCAGAACTGTTAAAAATTGACTGGCGTCTCCCTTCGACATCTATAGATACAGGTATCCGATTATCTTAATTTTGGTTTAATTAATATTTTCTGCTTTTAGAAGGTAGAACTCTTCTTAGAACTCATGTAGAACTATAGATCTTTTCATTTCTGATCATTTCTGATACGGAAAATGTCGTAGGACAAAGTGAGACGCTGCGTGAAGTTGGCGTCTCACTTTGCACTAAGCAATTTTTTGGCTTTAACGAGCAGAACTATGTGTTTTACCTATCAGGAACTCTAGAACTATTAAAAAGGAAGTCAGAACTCTCAAAATATAATGAGTTTCCGCAAAATGATACGCCAACTTCACACACACCATTTAAACTCATCTATTACTGACGCACTTGTGTGAAAAAAAAGAAAATCAATACTTGTCAGAAGCAAATTAAATCGATATGACGACCGCAACAGCTAATCGCACCGCATTCTAACAATCTAATCAAGAGCTTGATATAAAAATGACATGTAAATCTATATTATAAAAATAAAAATTGAATATTATTAATATCGTGCATACAAACGTATATCTATAGTATAATAAGTATCTAAGCATAATACATCGTTCAAATCTAAGGAATATCTAAGTCTAATTTATGAATTCTTCAATTTTTATTGGTTCCTCCGAATTATTCGTTAACGGTGGTCACGTCATTAAACGGACTTGATTGCAAAAGCTCATATATCGGAGAGCTCGGTACAATTATCGATTCGTTCAAAATGGGCCACGTCCGTCCACGTTCGTAATTTTTTTTTTTTCACATTTTCGTTACTGCAAGCTTCGACATCGAAAGAGTCTCGAATCGAAATTCACGCTCGAATACAAATATATAGAGGGAAAAGGAGCTTTTCCTTATCTTGCGAGAACTCCATTCGATCGAGGCTGAAACCTTCAATTGTGACAGATTTATTTTGGCTCGGGAGGGTCGCTCGGTGCGAAGCCAATCATGTTTTATTAGCTCCAAATTTCGGTGGATTTTCGACGATCTAAAACGTCAGATCTCTGACGCTTCGAGTATTCGTGTCATAATGTCCCATTAGTATGCTCGTCGAAACTCTCGGGTCTTCTTTATTTCTATAGATTGCGCGAGAGGACCTGCCATGTATATATTTCTTTCCTTCTCTCTCTATCTCTCAGAGCCCTTATAAGCATCACCGCGACAAGACGCGTGATATGCAGATGTCGCGTCCAGGAGCCCTCTCGGCGGGATGCCGTCGTGATTTAGGCTAATTATGCGCGTCCAAGTAGGTTTCTCCTACCAACCGGCATATCTCTATGCGCCCTACCGGGACACGCGACCTCTCGACCACCACCGTGTAATTCGCGTGTATACACGCGTGCGCGCAGAAACATATCCGCGTATATATGTGTATTCGCCCTATGTCCATTTTCCCGGATAAATCCTACCTTACCGCTGTGTAGGTACATCTACTCGTACCTCAGATTCGCGCAGCGAGCGAGTTTTCGTTGCGTTTTGCTTTGCGTATCTCGTACGTGCACGGTAAACGTGTGCTTTCGCATGCTTTGCATCTCTACGCACGTTTCCCTACTTAATTATATGTGTACATACGTATATACATAGGATGTTTGTGAGAATTCCACAGCCTCGCGACTCGTCCGGGAGAGTTTCTTGAGATCAGCCGAAAGAAATTTTAATTCCACGCTATATCAAAGCTTTTTTAAATTTCTACGTTAAATAAACTCTTCGTTAATTAAACTCCAGATTATAGCTCTGACAGAACGATGATAGTTCCTGAGAGACATCGTTTATATATACATTATATACATGTGTGTGTACATGACTTGCTATCGCGTGAAGTACATGTGTACGCGGATACGCATCGGATGCGAATAGACACGATAATTGTAATTCCCTTACACATGTAAATGTAATTGTACATAATGTCTACAAATGGGTATACAGCTCATGTTTATGTTAACGCACATGTATATATACAATGTATATATATATATATATATATATATATATATATATATATATATAGCGAAATTATGTATACGTGGTTATACTAAATAGGACAATCCTTGACTGCGCGTATAATTAGCCCGGAGTATCGGTGGACGGTCTTATACATGTATATATATATGTATTATAGCTCTTCGTAATATATGTATATAATGCATCTACGCTAATTACACATACCTATGTACGTCGCATATCTCAAAATTTTGGTGGATTAAACGGCTATCAACAGAGTAGAGGCTACTCCACACCTGTGCATTTGCATAAACGTCTGTCAGCGTGTCGTGTTTTACAAGTGTGCGCGCGCGTTATCGCTTCACTCACACTCGAGAGAAACGAAATTCCTTTTTCCTCGGACGGGCCACGGATTGCGCGCACCCTCGTTCCACCGCAAACCCGATAGTCGACCAACGACGGAACGGTGCAATTCACCGATAAAAACATACAGGAGCGAGCCCGTACGCGATACGCCATTTGGCGGTGCTTATAGAGTCTCGCGGGGATTTCAGATGGGAATTGTACGCGTCTGTGCTATCGAGATACAAAGTCGCAACTAGATTACGAGGGTTCGACAGCCAGCAGCAAGGTCGAAGGGTCACTCGCGGGACATGGTCCTGGCTTTATTTTCCGTTGCCCTTTTCGTCGCGCGGTATAAAATATAGAAGAACGGTAGCCACCCCGTATCATTACCAGTGATTCGAGCGACGACGATAGAACAATAATTTTTTCCCCCCAGAAAACGAATTTTCTGCGGCGAAGTTATCTCATCATCGCTCGAAAATGACGTGCAATCCTTTCCTTCAATGTGAATTTTCATGTAGTAAAAAAATATAAAGTCTTATCTTTAACTCCTTGAATTTAAATTGAGTCGATTTAAATCTAATTCAAGAAATCTTATGGTTCCAACGTAAGATCGACACGCGAAATACGTGTTTAAAAACGAAAAATATAGCAAAACTTATTGAATGGAGCATTGTGTGGTCATTTTATAAGTCTTATAAATAAATATTTTGCTGTCTTTCGCGTGTACGCAATTAGCGAATTATAGCTATTGTGTAATCGTGTCATTAAAGTATTAAAAAAAACAAGTTGGCATCCTGTGTGCAAAATTGATTGAAACCTGGTATTAAATCGTTGATGCACGATATCACATTGTAAGATTCCACTTGAGAAAACTCCCCGCATTTAAATACCAATTATATTTCGCCAGCTGTGTCGTCTGACACTTGCATATTAACTGCAATAAGATATGCTTTAGAAGAGCTGCGAGACATTTATATCTACATCTATATCTACACTTACGAGAAATGTTGTTTCTATTCTCTACGCTTTTTTCTACACTTTTATCAACAATTCAAGTATTTTTTAAATTGAATTAAATAAAATTTAAATTTTTTAAATGGAAGAATAAGTAACTTATAATAAATAAAATTAATAGTGACGCTTGCGTGATAAGACACAGCGAGCGTCTTGGCGCAAGTATTCTTGCCTCAGAAACGCATAATATTATTTACCTCCGAGCAAGAGATTTTTATCGCGCGCAGTCTCTCCCGTCCTCTACAATCTACAAAGAGAGGTGTGAACTATAAATTATCAATTTATTTTTGCAGGTGTCGGCCGGCCAGCATATGCAGCTGACGGGCGACCTGAAGCCGGTCGTGTCCGTCGCGGCTCAGCAGGGCAGTACTTCAATCAACAACAACCGCAGAATCAGGCAGGACCTGCCGCTAACCAGACCGACACCTACTGTTTCGGTTACCCAGACCCCGACCATCAACTTTACCCAGCAGAGCCTGAGGCAGAGGACGGCCGCAGCTGGTGGAGTCCCGCAACCCGGGGCTGCC